CATCGTTGCACACCCTCCGGATCAAGTATGCGATCCAGACCCTCCGGATCAGACAGCATAGGAACGTGCACTCAGGGCACGTGGTTTTGATCAGTAGCCATATTATGGTATATGGAGAATATTTAATATTGGGGGGTGGGGGGGTTTAATATTAGAGGGAGGGGATTACAGTATTTTGGTGCCAACGTTGGGAAACTACCGGATTGGGCCAGGACCTGACCATGGTTTTGACGCAGGGCCTTCTTGGCATGCCGGAGCCTCAATTGGGAATTAGTCAAAATCGATACAATACTAGTCCTCATATTGAGCTTCCGATTACAGTCCCTAGACAATCTTCCCCATCTTGGCAACACTACTCGTATTGAGAGCTAAAGCAGCATATGCTTACACTCTCCAGACCAACATGGAAACGTTCGGATGTACAAAGACGATAGACATGTTGAAAGAGGGACCTTTTTTTCTTCCACGTTAGTTTGGGAGAGGCTAGTTCCTAGACTTTCGTTTAGAATAATTTGTGCAGTGCATGATGCATGCCAGCATTTTGAACTCGAAAGCTTGTAGCGCCTGCTTGTCAGAGCCTTGTAGCCGAAATGCTCAGCTTCCTTGCTTTGTGTGCCGGCTTTGTCTGCTCAGTGATGGCCCGGTGTCCGGACCATCCCTACCTGGATTCGTGCGCGACACCAACCGACAACACAACTGCGAATGTCGAAACCAGCCAGGGAGGTCGCAACTCATGCTGGATAGCATTGGCTTTGCCTCTAGTGGCAGTGATGGCCACGGGTGTGGATGCACATGGACGGGGCATGTCTTGCAGCAACATCCGAACCCAGAAGTGCTGCTGTGAGGGTGACCAGCCCATTCCGCTGGACTTCAGCACCAGCCAGGGAAGCAGCTTCAGCCACAGCAACTCCCTCTGTGAGGTGAGCAGCCGGGTGAGTGTATGCCTTTCTGAGAAGGCCATGTGTGCATAGGGATGCAGGTGCCATGCCTGCTGTGCTGCATAATGCTCTGTAGCATGTGATGGGCGTGTAGCAGATTCCAGTACATCCAGCAGTGGGGGAGAGTGGCTCATGTGGACCAGCAGCATGGCAATTTCAGAGGCTTCGTGGCGTGGAGCTCCTACGTTGTTCCCCATCTTGCATGTTTGGAGCATGAGACCAAAGGTCTGTTTCGCAGTAGAAGCTTTTCAGAGTCCTTTTTCAAGTCCGTCAACGTAGCTTGATCGGATGGCATGTGTTGCGAACTGGAAGCACTGCCTACAGGGGCTGTTCAATTTCTTCTGGCTCAGAAGTGGCTGACACCTGCTAAGGAGCCAGAAGAGCACATGTGCGTTTTAAGCCTCCGCTGGGAAAAAACAATGTGCAATGTGAGTCTGCAGCTTCCAATGATTCAAAATGGCGGGAAAGTGCATGGAATGTTGTTTCGGCAAACGCTTCAAGAAGCTCGGGTCGCAGTGCAGGTGAGCTGAAGCATGGCCATGTCAAGTGGGCACTGAGATTCACTGAGATGGGCGGGCTTCACAAAACGTGATGCCAAGTGGATTTGCCAACCCCTCTGCCGATGAGAGCACAAACCAAGAGTTTTTTTTGCAGGAGATTCGAGCGACCAGTCGGGAGAATCAAGTCTTGGGATGAATTTGAATTTGAGAGAGAGAGGGCTTTCCTGAAGAGCTTCAGTACCTTGGCGTACTAGGTTTGCAACATGCAGGAAAGAGCAGACAGGTCAGAGGACCTGCCCCTGGACCAAGATATACACCCAGTTTTCATTCCATTGTCCTTTTCATCTTCTATTTTGACTGTCCATTGTTGGCGTCAGAATCCCTTTCTATCCCTAAAGAAACTCAATAAAATCATTGTATAACTCCACAGTATCCCTAGTTTCTAAAAACCCTGTAGAGAGCACAAGCAAGAATCAAGATGCCGCCGCATTTTCGGTTCAGAGAAGCAAGACACCTCGTTGGCCACGGTTCATCGAGGTGGGCAGCCAATGTTGAAGAGGAAATGGAGGGACTGTCATAGAGGCATGATGCAGGGCTAAGGGGATAGAATAATGAAGAATCGCATGGACAAATGGAGAATGACATGGAACATGGGATTATATGGGGGGCTAAATCGGGATTTTAACTTGGAGGTTGTCAAAATCAGGGCGCTTTTTGCAACCTTGAATTATAAGGGGCCGCAGTGACCTGAGAAGGGACCATGATTGTAACAGCATACCATCCAGTGTCCAGGTTAGGCAGTTGTCCTTTTGGATTTGCCCTAAACCCTAAACCCTAAACCCTAAACCCTATAAACCCTAAACCCTAAACTTAAAAAAAAAAACAAATATGTTGAAGGCAACCCCGAAACCTGGATCAGACAGAGGGCAAGCAGACAAAGGGCGAGCCTGTCTTGGCCCAAAAGGATCTAATCCGCTGTCCAAATCGAAAGGGAACCCAAAGTCAAGGCCCACTTTGAGGGTAATATTGGGATAATGGATAATAAAATGGAAGCTACTATAGTATATTGGGGGTATAATGGGATAATGGAAAAGAAAATGGAGACTACAGGGATTATATGGTACCCAATATTACCCCAATCATGGAGAATCAAATGGAAAAGGAAAAGGAGCATGAAATGGACACTGGGGTTTGCACAGGTGTTATAGTACTGCCCAAGTTACATGAGCTACGGACTGAACTTAGGTTGGGGGGGACCTATAGGGGAATGTATGGGGTGTTGGGGGGGACCTATTGAGGGATATACTACAACTTCGATCCAGGGCTCGCATCAACCGAAATCCAGGCTACTATCTCACTCGTGTGAGGCATGCCGCGGAGCGGAGGGCGTGATGGATTCGACTTCAGCTTCCTAACCAACAAAGATGACAGCCTGGCCCTTATTCACGCAATCTGCTGGGTCTTTGGGGCTAGTAAGACAATATTCTGGTGGTGAAGATGGGTCAAAGTGGGGAAGGATCAGTTTAGCATCGGCCGAGCTTTGCCTCTTCCGCTTTTTATGTGCGAGAAGCGTTTGACAACAAAAAGAGACCAATGATATGGAAGCTGCTGAGGTCTAGGATTTATTGCAGAAGAGGAGCCCAACTGCAACATCCGGCGCCTCAAGATCATGTGGCCGTGGTTGCTGTCCTTATACTTAGAGCCCTAAGTCTGTTGAAGTACATTTTGGGGATCTGCATGTGGAGGTATGTCGGGGATGCTGTGGGGCACCTCAAGCTAGATTCATGCATTTTACTGAGGACCTGAAGTCCAGTTTGTTGTTTGAATGTACCTGGCAGTTGGCTTATTGCGGCAATCTAGGTTCTTGGCTTCAACAGGTCCTGATGCTTTTGCACAACTCTCTGTGAAATCGAGAGGACCGAGTCAATTGCCCATTCTATTTCAAGATTGGGGCATGCCGCAACGGCGACCGCTGTAATCGTGTGCGGGTCTCAGCATGACGCAGGGTATGCCGACGAATTTGGCTGGAATCGCATCTCAGCCAAAGATGCACTCGTGAAACGCCGCCAATTCAGCACCTTTTGGATATGCACGTCAGGCTCACAGCAAGCCGACCAGTGGCAACACGATTCTGATTCCTCACCTGATGCCGCCTCAGCTGTCAACGTAGTTTACCGAACTCATTCCGCATCTGTGAGAGCCAACGCAAGTACTTTTTGTGGAAGTTCTTCCGTGCAAGCTAGAGCTCAGTGTTTTACAGGGAAATGGATGCGAGACGCTCAGGATGTATGTGGCTATGGGAAAGTAGTTAGCAGCGATGCTTGCCCTTCAGATCCCCGTGTTTCAATTTCTTCTCTGCTAAAATGCTTGCTTGCTGGACACGGCCGCGCAATACCCACCCACAGCATCATTGGGATAATGGAAAATAAAATGGAAGCTACTATAGTGGAGAATCAAATGGAAAAGAAAATGGAAAATGAAATGGAAACTGGGATATTGTAATTATATTGGGATAATGGAAAAGAAAATGGAAACTACTATAATGGGTTATATAGGGATTATAGGGTATATACTGGGATTATAGGAACTGTAAGCGCTAGCCCACGTCCGCCTCGGCAGTCGGGCTCG